ACCTGGCCCCCAGCTCTGCCCCCCAGATCCTTCCCAAGCCTCTCCCAAGCTCCTCCCCCACTCTCTCACGCCCCCTTCCTGCCTCCCAACACCCCGAATATCACAGGCCCCGCTGGCTGTCCCCAGAGCTGCCAATAACACAACAGTCCCTCGCTCGTTCCCTGGAAACTTGATAAATGTCGTGCCTCCTCCCCGCTTTCCGAGATGCCCTGCTCCTGGCTTACTCGTCCAGCCTCTCCCTTCCACACGCCCCTCCCCTTCGAGGGAGATCCCCGAGACTGGCACTGGCGGGAGAGGGGTGGCGCAGAGCAGGAAGTACCTTCTGGGTCTCCGATCACCAGCACCAGCCTCTGCCGAGTGGTGTCAAAGCTGACCCGATTGTAGGCTGTGACCTGGGGGTGGGGAAGAGAGTCAGTCCGAGAGGTGGGTCAGGGGAGCAGGCCAGTGTATGCAAATCATATGTAAACGACCACGAGGGAACACCCAATCCCGACCGGCAGGGCGGCTCCTGGGAGGCCACGCTGCCCCGCCCCCGCGAGTTTCCGAGGGTCCCTGCAGCACCTCGATGATCTGGCGCCCGCGGTCTTCTGGGGTGGCAGAGCCGTAGAGGAACCCCGGGTGGCGGGGGCTGCGCTGGGTGTAGCGGAGCCACCGGGGCAGGTCTGGGTGTCCCTGGAGGTGGGCATGGTAGGTGATGGAGACGGTGGGTGGGACAGCTGGAAGAAAGGAGAGGGGGCTAGAGTCACGATAAGATCCCCCAGCAAGGCACACCCCAGCCCACTGGGGTGCCCGTCAGGCCCCTCTCACCAACATGCTCCGGAAGGCGCAGGAAGGTCGCGTGGTCCAAGGTGTGCACGAAGACGCGGCCCACAAGTGGGTACAGGGTGGTCTGCTGGGCCTCGGTGCCCTCCAGACTTGCCAGGAGACCTGTGAGTACCCCACAAGTCCCAAATACACAGACCAGCCTCGGTCCCGTGCAATCCCTTCCCGACCAAGTTCCTGGTGCCCCCAAGAGACTCAGAGAAGGGGTCCCTTTGCTGGCTCCCAAGAAAGGCTGGAAGGATGTAGAGAAGGGGACATTTTAAGCCCTGGCAAGACCCAGACTTCCCTTTGGTTTGGGCTCATGGGAGGGCCTCCCCAAGACAACATTTCCACTCCTCATTTTAGGGCCGCGTTAAGGGCCACCGCGGGCAGGGACTGATGTGTGACTGGAAGGGGCGTGTGCCTGTGTATGTGTGTGAGTGGGTCTGTGTGAAGGGCACTCGGAAAAACCCCATGCTGAGTGTCTGAGGCTGCAGAAGAGGGGAAGGGGGGAGGCGCCTGCAGTGGAGACCTGGGACCTGAAACCCCCACCCGTCTCCCCTAATATCCAGGGAGGATCAGGGCCTGCTTAGAGGCCAACAGGGACAGAGCAAAAGGCTCCTTCTCCCAGGAGCTGCCCCAGCAGCCCCACCCTCCCTTTCAGGGCCAAATTTAGCCTGGGCCTGGGCAGAAGCCGCAGCCCAGTCAGCCCGTTAAGGGGCCCGCGATCCCCCTGGGCCGGTGTTGTCAGGCCCACTCCCGTCCTGGGACAGTGCCTGCCCCCAGAGATCCTATTCCTCACATCCCAGAGCCTGGCTCTCAGCCCCTGTCCCACTAGGCCCCTGCACTTCTGGCCCCTACCCCTCCCACCCCAGACCCC